CCCTAGCTTATAACTAGGGGTCTGATTTCTGGGTTTTACTGAAAGGAAAGTGTCTACCACTATAAAGTTGTGGATGCAAGCAAGAGTGCTGGACCCTTTCCTGAAGTCAGCTCAGTATTAATCTTACTCTGCATTCCAGCTGAAAGTGCAACAGTACAGCATCCTTCGGTAAATTGTGCTATACTGAAAGATGAGGCCACAGTAAAATGACCAAAAATATACTTACAGCAATTTTTATTCTCTGAAAGCTTTTAATTATATATATTTAATTTCTGTAGTGCATATTGGTGTATAAAATATATTTTATTTGACATATTAAGTTGTAAAGCTTATTGTTGAAAGAACTGTATTGTTGAAATATTTCATTTCTACTTGTAGTAAACAAAAGTTCTATCCAAGTTACAGGTTGAAATAACAAAATATGAAAAAATAAAATCAATATTATACACACCATACTTTGTCCCTATTCATCCAGGGATGAATTAGATGTTGGAGTCTAAAAATTTGATTAAAGGATGGAAGGCCATAGTCCAAGCATGTCACTGATTGTATCAAAGCCAGATATCAAGGCCAGTGTTGGTATTTTGACACCACTTACCGTTGTTTCAAAGATGTGCATAAATATTATGGCATAAATAACAGTGACTATATCACCAGTTGAGACACCACTTAGTTGAAGATATATTTGGTGTCAAAATGAAAATATCCATAATGAAGGATGAAATATAAAATTTCTCCAACAGCGTCTATTGTCATTCCATACATATTCAAACTGTTTGCGATTAAGCATGAATTCACACGTTGTGTTAATAACATCTTTGTCTGTATAGATGGGTAAAGTTATGATGTTCAATCTAAAGAGTATTGTTGTGAGGTACATCCTTGATTTGTTATAGCAGGTCTTGTTATTTAAGTGCACTGAAACAAAATTCAATAACAGCATTAAAATTGTTTGCATAAGCAAAGACAGATTTTCAGTAGCTCTGCCATATGCTGAGACTATGGGTCTTATTGGTATATCCAGTTTATGTTCTTTTAGTAAACCATATAATTCTGGAATGTGGCTATTAGATGATTTAAGTTCATCTAGAAGCTTCATAGGGAGGTTACTTGTTTTTGCAAGTTCATACATAATCTCTTTAGTTTTCATCTCAATTTTCTTAGTGGGGACACTATTAAGTATTCGAAACATATTCTCATCTTTCAGATGATCAAATATTATTTGTTCGTAAAGTTTTCTACTCATAACTACAAAACCTTTATATTTGTCCAATTCTTTGATGATATGATGTTTTGAGCTTTTTAAGGGCTTACTGTTTTTTGAGATGGAAGTCAGGCTTGGCTTAATGATTTCTGTCTTTGTAAAACTTTCCTTGTCTTGTTCCTTACAGCTGCAATTTTTGTTTCAATATCTTTATTAGTGTAGGGAGGTTGTTGCTTGTTGGTATTAGTTTTTGTATCTGTAATTGAACAAATTTCAGAAATGGAATTAATGTCTGAATCAAAGGTATCAGTTTCAATTTTGGCAGATGCAAGAGTTGGGTTTGGTATATTTTGCTGTATATTACAGTTACTTTTACTTTTGTTCATAGTAAGCAGAGGTTTTCTTGTTCCTCTATTTTCATAGAAATAGTTCCATCATATAGAGAGTAGTCAGCTGTACTTTTTATATTCTGTATTTATGCATTATTGTTTTTTTTTTCTCATAAGCTAGTGAGTTCTTAAATTAGTGTGTTATAAGCTTGGGAACTTATAAATTAGTGTTCTCCAAGTTTGGAAATCTATGAAGTAGCATAAACTATAGATTATGAATCAATGTGTTATAAGTTAGGGAGCATGAGTTTTTGTGTTATTAACTTTGAAGTTTATGAATTATTTGGCTATAACTACATTGTATGAAGTAGTTTGTTATAAACTAGTTTATTAATTAGTCTGTGATAACTAAATTATATAAAGTAGTGTTGTAAGTAGGGGTTATGATTTTTTGGGTGAATTTTTTTAATAACTTTGATCAATTTGCAAAAATGAGGTAGAATTTTTTAATCAAAAGAAAGGGGTAAAGTCTGGGGAAATGTTTTATGTATAGTCAAGAAAGAATAAATAATTGGGTTGAAATTAAGTTCCCAAGCTTATAACACACTAATTTAAGAACTCACTAGCTTATGAGACACTTTGATAGCATGCCATCTTAATTCCAACTGTCTCAATCCATAATGTCTGGAAATGAATGGCATGTTTGAAGGTCAATAAATAAAATATCTCTAAAATTCCTACAATGTCAAGTTAATAAGACTAATTTGATGCTTTCAGTTTTCAGGGTATCTTTTTATTTATTTTTTCATGAACATTCTTTATGTATCATTTAACAATAAATAGCTTTGGCAGTTTACCCAGAAAGTTCAACTTTAATAACTGTTTAGCCCCAGGTCCAAAATTCAATTGTTTAAGTTTTTAAGTGTATCTGCAATTTTTCAAGAGTATACAATTTTATTTTTTGCCTGGACTTCAAGTCATACTTAAACTACTACAAAAACATCACAGAATATTTGATCAGTAACATATTAAAATTACAACAAAATTAGAAGTTTTTTTAAAGGGTACATATAATTTTAGGGCATAGTGAGCAGCTTTTTATATATTTCTTACAGTGCCAAACAATCTATGTAACACTAGTTGGTGTTTCATGAAAACAAAATTAGAATTGTTTCTCTTTCAACCTTATGATATATTGTGAATGGGCTCAACTGAATAAATACAATATTTTTGAAATGATGACACTGAACCAAGTTTTCATTTTGGTCATTAAATACACACAAAATACAAAAAAACGACCTTTCAAATAATTTGAAATATATTTATGCTGATAAATCTTATAAAAGAAAATATTCACAACCAGATTATTAAGGCTTGGGTTTGTAATTCATGGTTATTGTGTTTATGTTTTGGACTGTACTTAACTCTTTCAGCATGGACTGACCTCATAACCATTTTGTGCTTGTTATAGTTTTCATGCTATAACTTTTAAATTAGTAAGCATATGTCAATGAAATTTGACAGATTATCAGTAAACACTACAATACTTTCATATGCAAGATATCAATTTTTTTATTTATTAAGTCTTAAGCTTTGTAAAACAAGATTTTTCTTCTGCCTTTTTTTTTCTTTTTGCATGTTGCCTATCCAACATGTAAAGTAATTTTCATTTTAAGATTAAAATACTTTTGTGCATGAGAAAATTTTAAAATTTTACATGCAAAATTTTTATAATGTTCAGATAGTTATGAAACATTTCTTAAGAAAAAAGTATTATTTTATTTTCCGTAATAAATCTCTGTACGGTTTGACCAATCTCATAACCACGTTAAAAAATTAGGAAACAAATATAAAATATGCCTTTTTCATTATAGAATAACTGCAAATTATAACACAAACACAAATGTTTAGACTAAGTAGCATAAATCTCGTAACATTATACATTTATATATATTTATTATTTTTATTTTATTGACCTTTCACCCATGCCTGGCAAACAATACAGAAATTACAATGACTCGGCTCACATGCACTCATGTTACCGTATCCAATAACATAAAACTGATCCTTGGTCTGTACAAAGTAACTTGCCTTGGCTGTTTTTTAGTAGATGAGTAATTTTTGTAATATACAGTCAAATTTCAATTATTATACATTATATATGTATATAGATTATTGCTATTTTGAAATAAGTTCTTAAACTTATTTTTCCTAAAAACATAAAAGAGTAAATAAAGAAGTAAAGCAAACAATTATCTCTTCTAGTTACGACCATTGTACTCGGTTGCTGCTTGATGTAGGTTGATAAGCCTTTAAAAATTTTGCACGTGGAGACCATGAAACAAAATATTTTTTAGATTTAGTATATGCTTTTGAATAACTAAAAAATCATAAATTATTATATTAATACTACAGAATTTCACTATAATTTATCAAGCTTAGTAACTAAGCTGTATCTCAGTCTAAAAAATATGAACTTTTGAGCAAACTAGATTCAACTTACCTCTATACCTACCTCCTTGAAATCTTGGTTCGAAAGAAATAGATGGCATCCAAGCATATTAAAATGGCTGAGAAAGCCACTAGGGGGACATTCTTAGCTTCCGATTGGTTATTCATGTCATATATAGATGTGTATATAAGGGAGCATTTCCAAATATGGAAAGAGGTGGGTGGTGTGCCACTATATTTGATTTATTACACGAGGAATTTCGTAACAAACTGAAAAGTTAAGAGGCTCTTATTTTATATTCTAGCTTATTAATATCAGTAATTTGAATTTCTAATTCGCAAGAAACTATACTTAGTATTTTGACTTGACAAACATCTAATTTGAACCAGTGCTGCATTCAACACACCCTGATGTTTAACTGTGTTTTTTTAATATTTACTTTTAAATTAAGAAATTGCATAAGATATAATACTAAAATTTGAATTATAATCTACAGTTTGATACCAAACTAATTGACATAAATTTATGAAATAGTAGTTCAATAACATTTTGAATCCAAATCAACAAATGCAACGACATGGCCTTTCATCCATGACCCATCTGGAAAGGGTTAACTTTCCTCAATATTTTCTTTAATTTTCTACTTGTTTTATGTTTTTAGCATTATAACTAGGTAAAATACTGAATTTTCTGCCATTTTGATTTGTTACTTAAAAGTTTAAAATATTTTCCTCCAGACAAACAGAAGTTGAATTATTTTTCTGCCCTTAGCCATTGTTTGTTTCTGGTTAAAATTTAGACAAATGCTTTTAAATATGTTTTAGATACCTGTTGAGAAGTAATGGCTTCTTATGACACTCAGTCAGCACTAAGTGAAACTACAATAAGAACTCTTGATATTAAATATTAAATAACTGAAACTTTTTAATTGTTGTGCTGTTTTCAATGACAAAATAAAAAGTGATCAAAAAATGTGATGTGTTCTTAATGTACAAACAACAATTAACACACTTACCCCCACTGATCAAACGAATTGATGTCCCAGATAATTCCTTGAGTGAAGATTTTATGTTCATACATTGCTATTCAAGGAAACACAAAGAATGATTATTGAGAAAATGTTTTACACAACTGATATTTTCTTCACTTAACATCATGGAAACCTTGAAATTCTTTGCAATGAAAAAAAAACATCCTTCTGCATAGATTTATATACTAATATACTACCATTATATATTTCAATATGAATACAACAACTAAACTATCCAATAAGGAGTTTACAGATTACTAAACTAAAATATCAAAAAAGTTATTATAACTTCAGTAGATTAAATATTTTTCTTTTAACCAATATGAGAGGCAGATTTCAACATTAAACGAAGAAAATTTAACAGTTTCATCTTGAATTTACTTACTGATTACAAGTATTATTTTATTACAAGTTACAACTTTTACAGTAAGGAAGAATATCTTTAAAACAAATAAGACATTTCACTCACTGGTGCAATCATTCTCAAGTACACAAGTTTTAATGGTAAAGGTTTTAGTATTTAAATCAACATTCAACAAACTTAAATGCTAAAACTTTCTTTATTGTTAAATCTTGCATACTTGAGAATAATCTCACCACTGATCAAAACATTGTACCTGTTTTAAAAATATTCTTCCTTACTGTAAAAGCTGTAACTTGCAATAAAACAGTAAGAACAATTTCTTTAACTTGAAATATCTTTAATTACACTTGTGATGATAATTATATTTTTTGATTACTAGTTCCAAAACAATTCTCAACATTATGCCTCTTCTATGTATGGAAATGGGCATGAATTTCTTGATGTACTTTCTAATGTCTTCTATGACAAGTATGATATTAATTTCAAGCTTCTTAGCTTTATTAAATATACACTAAAAAATAACTTGTAGTTACAGAAGCCCAACTATAACCCTCAGCTATAGGGGATGTCATTATTCTATCCATCTCTAAGCTGACTTCAAATTAATTCCATTCTTAATTTTTTTAACATTAAAATAGTATGATTTTAACACTGAAATAACTTTCATTATAGTCATTTCAAGTAACAATATATTTTTCCAATATATTAAAAAGTACTTTCAATGTGATTAAAAATATCAACACTAAGAGCATTATAATTCAATGAGCATGAAGCTATTTGAACAGCAGTGTGAAATAAACATGCATGTAGTTGAAATGCTAAATTCTTCATATTGGACCCATAACCAGTCATTTCAAAAATTAGAGCATTTTAAAAAATCTCATTTGGTGAAAGAGTGTGATATTTCATCAAACCTGATTCTCAGAGGAATAACGCTTTGCCAAATTCAACAAAGAATGAAGGAGTCATTAACAGCTTACTAACCAATATGTTATAATAATTAAATAGGTAAAATTATAGTTAAACTATTTAAATAAACATTTAATTTCTTACCAATAAGAACACCAAGATTAAATGGAGTTAGCTTTGGAATCATGATTGAATTAGTTGGCTTGTTTCCTTCAAAAACCTAAGAAAAAATCAGAAGGTTAAAAAAAAATTACAGATGAAAGAAATATAATTTTTTTAGGAAAAACATTTTTTCTTCATTTGTAAAAAAATATTTTGCTTTACTTTGGCAATTATGAAACATGCAGAAATCAAAATAAATTCTACATTAGGAGCACTGAACATTCTCCAACTCAACAAGATGTGTAAAATTAAACAATAATACTTCTTACATGAATATACAGTAGACTCTCCCTATTAAGACCACCTTTAGGTCCAAACAAAAGTGGTCTTACTAGGGATCCACCAATTCATCAATTAACTGTAAAATACTTGAATATTGAATTGTAATGTCGTGTGTGATATTTCTTCGCATATTGTAAATCCAAACTATTAATAATCATTCATTTCTTGAAGATTTTCTATTTTATTGTCTTTATTTTTATCATTAAAGTGTTTTACAAATTTCAGTCACAGAACATCTGTGCATATACATTTTATTACACAAAAACGTTGGTGATTCTGGATTGTTTTTCTTTTTTTTTTGACATAGTGTTGAATATTTCACTTTGGACAATATCTACATTACTTAAATTGTCCATCATTTTCATGTGTGCCTGGTTTTTTAGTGCAAACTTCTTCATGTCTACAATGCACTTCAGCATTAACTGGATTGTGCACTCTTCTGTGTCTGTAGATTGGTTGCTGTGGTCGTCGTCTTCAGTGGGACAGTCACCATTCATGTTGTTGAGAAGTTCTTGTTCCCAGTAGTCACAGAATTCTTCGGTGGTGTGAAATTTGTTGTCTTGGTCGACGTATTCATTGGGGTCGGTGATAATATTGGGAAGATGGTCTTTAGCAAGCTGTAGCATTGAACCAAAGGGATGTTGTAGCCTTCATCTTCGCTGTTGTCAATTGAGGGGGAACCGAAGAAACATTTCACGAAACTCTTTGATACTGTGCTGGTTTTGATTTCATACATGGTGGAATTGATCCAAGCACAAGCATTTAGCACATTGACACTTTTCACCAAGTTTGTGAGCAACATGCCTTTATTCATGTTTGATAACACAGAGCATACTAAGCACTTTTTGTAGTGGGCTTTGAATGCACAAATGATACTCTGGTTGAGATATTGTAGCACTGATGTTGCATTGAGAGGCAAGAACACAATTTTGACATTGACTGTGCAATGTGGCATTGTCTAACAGCAAGATAATGTTGCAACACTATGCTTTCATGCACTTATTGAAGCCTGTAACCCAGTCTTGGAAGGCGGTGTTGGTCATCCACGTCTTCTCATTAGCATACCAAGCCACGGATAAGTCACTCTTTATGTTTAAGTTTTTGAAGCACCTGGGTTTTGTGCTCTTACTGATCACAACAGAGCATTCAAATTCATCAACATTATTGCAACCCCTAGTCTATCTTTTGATCACTTCCCCCCAGCACACTGTTCACCTTTTACACACAATGTTTTGTCTGGTAAACCACAATAGCTGACCTCAGTTTCATCCATACTGTAGATGACTCTAGGTGCATATCCCACTATAATAGTAGGCAATTTTGCATTCCATTCCTCAACTGCCATAGCATAGACATTGGTACGTTCACCACTGATTGTGAGTTGTGGCTTTGAACTTAGTAAGCCATCCAGAAGATTCTTTGAAGTCAAAAAGACCCAGAGTAGTGGCTATTGTAAGTGCCTTTTCTTGCAATATAGGTCTGGAAATTGGAATATTCTTAGCAATAGCTTTTTGATACCAAGACCATAATGATGCTTCAAGGTCATCACTCACAAACCTGGAACAAATGTGTTTTCGTGAAAATGGGTGATTCTCTTCAAATGCTGTCATATATTCAGCCTTACACTTTAAAATTTGCTGGATTTGTGTTTTGCTGACATTGAACTCCTCTTCAGCTAATGCACTAGCTTTTATTGCTGGCATTATGTGTCTGAATAACTATGACTATCTGCCAACAATAGCTCAACACGATCAGATGACTTTGCTTTTTGCATCATTTTGGAATAGAATTTATGTCACAGATATTTATATGAGCATTTGACAATAAATGTCATGTGTGATCGAAACAGAATAAACTGATGTTTTACTCATTGACCGATACGATATTTATACAGAGTATACCTGTCACGGTAATGTTATCAAAGAGTATGTGAAAACAATGCCCTTTCAAGTGGCTTTTTTGTGGATACCTCCTATTAAATTTATAACCAACAGAAATCCTAGATTTCAACTGATTGATTGCAATATGATTCATGCTACGTGATGTTACAGATAATTGACAATTTAGTTGATGAGAAAACATTTTTCCCATGAGAACATAGTGGGGTGCTAAGTTGATTTTCTAACTGCTCAAGTAACATGATTAAAGAGCCAGAAAAATTCATGTATGTGTTCTTCCATGCATTATTTACTTTAAAAAAATCATTTTGTGGACTAGTAGCATTGGGAAAGTATTAGAGATAATATAGAAGTACAGTCTATGACTGTTACACAAGTTACACAGGTAAGTGCTATATTTTTTGTTTTTCTTAACTATTCTTTATTTATTATTATAAAAGTAACTAAAATTATAACAATTAGAAAATTTTAGGCTATAGATAAAGCTAAATTAGGTAATAAAAATAATAATAAACAAATTTTTACAATAGCTCACGAGTAGCACAAGCTTTATGTAATTTGATTATGATAACATTTGCTTCATTTTATTGCATATTTTTAAGCTTTTTATGGTGGGAATTTTAAAAATCATAATCCAAAAAGGCAATAAAACTTAATTAGAAACACCATTAGAGTAATTTAAAAGTGACACGCATTGAGTGTTATCAAATATTGAACACAATTGCAATCAACAATGACCACACCTGTTAATGTTTATCCTAAAAAAAAACCCAGCAAAATCGAAAGTCAACAATGGCCTCGAGACTGATTTCAGTTGTCGTAGTATGAAATAAGGGAGTGGTCAGCCTGGGGAAATATTTTATAATGGTAAAGACAGGCAAATTGTTGGGATTGTTATATATTGCCTGAAATGTTGCAGTGGTCTCCTTGGGGAGATGGTTACTCAGGGAGAGTCTACTGTACTTCTAACAAAAATTCTAGATGTGTTAAATTAAATTTAAGAATACTACTACTGCTTACGTGTAATATACTTAACAGAATTTTTCAAGATGTGCTTAACACTTCTAAGAGAATATCTGTTTACATGCACTTTGCACATACTACACACATTAAGAAATAAGGTGTTCAAAAATGTGAGAAACCAGGAGAGAAATGAACCTTAAGTCTGAGGTTCATTTCTCTCCTGCTTTCTCTGATACAAGTGTTCATATGAATTGCATGTAATTTTGTAGATGATTCCACTGTTTTTATTTTTAGTGGAGCAATTGTCAGCAATAAGGCTCTCAACTTCAACACCTGGCTTTTGTATGATTACGGTATTAATGTTGATGTTGTGTTTCTTCACGAGTCATTTTCATAATCCAATTAGAATTTTGCTGATGTGTTCAATATAATGAATTGTAGTGTTGATAAAGCTGAAGTTATTTTCATCTTCAAGAATTTTATTATTTTGAGTTTTTATTGGAGTACTGATTATTTTTTTAACAACTTCAAGAAAGATGCTATTTTCCCAATACACTAGTTTCCTAGTTTCTGTTGTATGTAGTCTATTTAACTCTACCGAGACGTATCTTCCTCCGGTCATGGGCCAAAATCCATGTCATCTCATTTGTAGACTTACATTCAAAATTTTATTGAACTACTATTTTATGAATGTATGTTAAGTTCAGTATCAAATTGTAGATTATAATTTAAACTTTAGTATTATACATTAGTTAATTTCTTAATTTAAAAGTTAATATAAAAAAAATCCTAAGTATTGATTTGTGAGTGTCACTTGGTATATTGAATGCAGCATTGGTTAAAATTAGATGTTTGTGATGTCCAAATACAAAGTCTATAGTTCTTACAATTTACATTCTCAAATTACCGATATTGACAAGCTAGAAAATAAGATAAGAACCTCTCTTTTCTATTTGCTGAGATATTATTAAATTTAGTGAATCAACCAAGGTGGCCATGCCCACCTCTTTCATTTCTGAAAATACTTGCTTACGTACACCTACTTCACCCAATTATGTGTATAACCAATCAATAGCTCAGAATATCCCCCTAGTGGTTTTCTCAGCCTCTGCAGAGTATTTACATGGGAAACCCTTTCTTTTCATGCTAGAATCCAAATGGTAAGGTAAGACGTTACTGAGCTCGAAAAATCATTTTTTTTAGACCCAAATACAGCTTAGTTAATAAACCTGATAAATTATAGTGGAATTCCGTGATATTGATACAGTAATTTATGTTTTTTTGTTATTTCAAAATGCATATATAACACCTAAAAAAATTATTTTGTTTTACATCCTCTGTGTGCAAAACTTGATAAGGCTTAGCAAATTACAGCAAGTAGCAAGTGAGTACAAAGTTCGTAACTAGAAGAGATAATTGTTTTCTATATTTCTTTATTTACTGTTCTATGTTTTAAGAAAAATAATTGAAGTTTAAGTTATAATTTGTAAATAGTAATAATGTATATACATATATAATGCATTATAACCAAAATGTGACTATTTTACAAAATACTGGTCCACTAGAACACAGCCAAGACAGGTGACTTTGTAAAGGCCAGTATTATGTTATTGAATATGATAACATGAGTCATTCAATGTCTGTAATGTTAGTCAGACACTGCTGAAAGGTCAATAAAATAAAAATAATAAATATATATATATATATACATGTCTAATGTTATGAGATTTAAACTATTTAGACTAAACATTTGTAGTTTCATGTTATAATTTGTAGTCATTCTAGAATGAAAAAAGCATAATTTATATTATTTCCTAACTTTTTATGGTGGTTACAAGGTCAGTCTAATCAACCAAACCCATACAGGGATACAATAGTGAAAATAATAGATAAAATATAAAGTTATTTTCTAAAA